CACCCTAAAAACATTATCTCCAGATAATAAGCAAGTAGGAATGCATCTGTCCCCCTGCGATACACTCTTGGATGTTCCAGTGTTAACTCGGCGAGCGCTAGAATAACACGCATACTTCGTTTTCGCGATAATGCAATTGCGTACTCTACTGAATACCTAATAAAATAGAGAAAAGAAAGCATTGTTCCTTTTGTAACATAATAAAGGAAAAAAGAGTTTCTCTGCTGCAGAAGGTGTTTTTATAGGGCACTTTAAAATGCTTTTTGCAGCGGAAGACACGAGTGCCCATCGTTATCCCTTAAAGGTGTCAAAAAACACGTTACCTAAGGGCTGTCAAGGGAAGGGAGGTGGAATCATCTCCACACTTTCTTTTAGGCTTTCCAACCTTCGGGAGGCTAAGATGGAAGCATTTTGGCTCGCACTTCCTAACTATCACTGAGCTCTCAGGGATCGAAATTAGCCGCATTCCAAATTTGGTAGTCGGCTCGCGGCATCTCGCCGACTAAATTAAAGGCATCCATTCAGTTTTTTCGTGGTATTACAATGGACAATCTCTCCATTGTCTAATTGTGTCCCTTGCCTGGGGTACCCACTTTAACCTAACCTAACCTAACCTAACCTGTACTTCTTTCAGCTATGTAATAGTTGGTCACATTAGACATCCATATCAGGATATATATTGCAGTTTTCCGCTCTTATTTAAGTCGAACCTTCCTTTTGAAAACCTCCTACATGATAATTGATTTTACTTAAAAATAATTTTAATTTAGTTTTTACAGCTGGAAACTCTTTTTGAAATTATTGCACATCAACATCCACACCAGGGATGTTGCGAATACTTGCATCCGTACTCCTTGTGCGAATGATTCGCATCATTTTACACATTCGCATTCGCATCAAATGATACGATACATGGGCAGAGTCCTCTCTATATTGTTGAAATGGCTGTTTAACCAGGGTGCGGACAGTAACCGGTGTTGAGACAGTTTCTCAACGGAACGATTTTCTTAGAATTTTGAACGAAAAACTGCGCCAGCTGGATGTGAATTCAAGTTTTATTTTGCATAGTTTCAACATATGTAATTATACATGTATGTATGTAAAAATTCCTATTATGGATATATAACTTAAACAAAATCAATTTGCGGAATATGATATGGTTAAATTATACAAACTTTAAGGTATGAAAACCAAAACGTATGAAGAGATCTCGTTTAATTGCTTTTAAGCTACTTTATGCACAAACTAGCTAATGTACAATTCACGAATCAATTGGCGCAATTATAGAACTCGTCTTACGGCTCGTGGCAGAAGTCATTTCAATTTATCCATAAAAAGAAAGGACTAGCGGCCGCTGTGGTGTAGGGGTAAGTAGTGCGCGCGGTTTTTTCTTAACAGCGGTCGCCCCTCGGTAGGCAATGGCAAACCTCCGAGTGTATTTCAGCCATGAAAAACAGCTTCTCATAAAAATACAATCGCCGTTCGGAGTCAGCGTAAAACTGTAGGTCCCTCCCCTTTGTGTGACAACATCAAGGCACACGCCACAAATCGGAGGAGCAGCTCGGCTGAACACATATGCGTAAGCGCCAATCTATTATTATTATTATATATTTTAGACAGTGGCGGCAACAGCCGGCTTTAGCTTCACGCGCTAAACGGTTAAGTACTATATCAAGCAACATTGATGGGCCTTCAACAAGTATTGCTAAAAGTATTAAAAGCAACCAAGAAATAATTTTAGATTGGAATGGAGACATTATAAAATGTGAAGTTAAAGCTCAATTGAATCTTAATAAAAAACGAGTACATTTCGGTGAAAATCCTCTCAATTGGTGGAATACTAAACTAAAATGCGACAAATTGACAGATCGCCCGAAAATATTTGAGCGCCCGCCAGCGTTCCAAGTGAAGAAATCGCCACATGGGAGAAAAGGCAACAAAATTACTTTTTTGAAACATAGTATGTCCCTTTTGAACTTTGACTACTAGATTAGAACACTATATACTCGTTCAATGTTCTAATAATTTACAAAATTTTTAAGAAATAAAACCGATGTCTTAAGTTGATTGCAGCTTTTTTAAGGTTATTTTTAACATTCGCATTCGCACATTCGGATTCCGAAAATTCGCATTCGCATTCGCGAATGTGATAAATATGACATTCTAAACATCCCTAATCCACACAGTTATGGCACATCCACAGGCCAAGCCCTTTAATTTGATACTTCATTTTGCAAAATTGAACGAACGGTACAGATCTGATATGTCGAAAAAGTTTTCGCGTATTATGCATTTATATTTATATATTATATATATAAAGATTACTAAAATAAAAACAGATCCACATTAACTGCAATCAACATATGTACGTATGTACTTATTTACATACATACGCTGCGATTAGGTTATAAATATTGCGCCATCTGTTGCTCAAAAGTCGAAATACCTACACACACATTCTTTTTGTCTCCTTCCCTCACTTCCAGCGCATGCGCGTGTTTGCAAAATGATACCGAAGAGATTTTGTACGGAAAATCATTTATGCTCATATATTTGAATAAAATAGACATAGGTTGAAGATATCAACCAAAACTTCCGATATACCAAACGAAAGGAATAAACTTGAGTTTTGGATTAAAGAAAATAAATCGGTTCTCGAGGGGTTCTCGAGCATTTTTTCAACAATTTTTTGCCTTAGAATATTAAATGATTGTTTAATTTATATAAAATTTGTATACGATAACATTTCTATTGCTCCTACATCCCGAAAACGAAAGCTCAAAATTTACCCCAAAATAAGCCAATATTTACCGTTGTTTCTACAACATAAACCTAATTGGTTACTTACAAAATGAATCTGTCTTTAGGTTTGGAATTTTATCTTTGATACTTTTCTTTGAAATCGCTTTATCAGTTCTCGTACAATACGCGTTTTCGTGAAGCTTTAAAAGTTACAACTACAACATGTGAGCATAGCCTCCATATCGAAACGTTAAGCGTATTCTCCATCAAACAGTTTATCGATAAATCAATTTCGCCATAGCAACAACAAAAGATCATACCCAAAGCGTACATGAATATCCGCAATAAAAACTCAACCAATAACCAACCACGATAGACCATGGCTTAGCATATAAAGCGCATGTGATTTCCTCATAACACCCTCAAATAAAGACAAGCTGTAAACAATGGCATCCAAATAGAGCCTACACAGAACACGTAGCTAACACTACATGGCATTTTTAAAAAAGGTAGCGGATATCGACAGCACAAGGCCTTTAAAAGCGGCGTGCACCATAATGCGCCGACACCCTTTGAGGATTAATAATAGGCTTCAGTGTCCAAGTTGTCTCTCACTTATCTGCAAGGCGAGACAATTGTAATCTTTCCACAAAGATTATGTGCGTTCCCTGCGTCCGCAAGCCCTCGAGGGAGCGTCTATCGAAAGTAATGAATTTTACGAGTAATCGAAGTAAGAATTATATACAAATCTTAGGTTTATTAAACACCACTTCCAGTAAGTAAGAGGTAGAGAAATTATCAGAAATAGGTCGCCAGTGAAACCAGTAAAAACTTGTAAAAACTCCAAACTTACGCCACTGTGGCACTTTTCGATGGTTAAGTTTTGGCGTGCAATTTTTATTTGCCTGGAAATATCTCTCATCGAGAAAGAGAAAAATCAACCAACACCAAAACAAAAAAGATTTATTTTGGAAGTCAACTATTCACCAATACTTTAATTTTACTGATTTTATTTTGACCAATCTTAAATAAGCATTGGTAAACAAAACAAGTAAAAAAGTCAAAGTTCGGGCGGAGCCGAACATAAAATACCCGACGCAAGTATTGAATATAGTTTTTTCATCTTTCCGAAAACAATCACTACATGGAAATCAGGGGTGGTTTTACCCTTATTTCCACCATCTTCGATAGAACGTTCAGTTAGACATAATGAGATAAACTTATATAGTTATACATATATATATAGCCCATTTACCAAAATTCTATAATAATGCTACTTCTTTTCACGGAATTGTTGTATCAATTTTGAGTAAATCAGCGACCATAAATTTCGAAATATCGCAGTTTCAAGCATTTCTGAAATTTACCGTTATATGACATTTACCGTTATATGGCGTAATTTTAGTCCGATTACAATAATTTCAACGGTTTGATTTGATGTGGCAAGCACACTAATAATACCGAGTTTGGTACAAATTGGTCAAACGGTTGCCGAGATACACATATGGAGTCTAAGTGGGTGATGCCGCGCCTGTTTTCCGAAATTTTATTATAAACGTATTTATTGGTAATGAGTTATTGCAAGCATCATTTTTTTCTTCTAAAAGTCATTGTAAATATCAATTTTGAGTGAATAAACATTAGTAGTTGCTAAAATATCGCAGTTTTCGTATTTCTGTAAACTACCGTTATATGGGAGGTAGGCGCGGTTATTGTCCGAAAATAAGTAAACCTGCCAAGTATCGTTAAGATATCTCAATTTTTACTCCAGTTATCGAATGCAAAGGCGGACGGACGGACAGACAGTAACCGCTTAATCGATTTCTTTATTCATTCTGATCAATTATGTACACATTTGTCTATATTTATCTCAATTCGTTTTGGCTATTACAAACCACCGTTATGTGAACAAAGTTGTAACACCCTTGTGCACATGTGCGCTCGGGGATAGAAATTTGTTTGCAAGCACGAAATCAAAAGTGTTTTTGAACTATGTAAAATATGTATGTAAGTTTGTAACGGGTGATTTTTTAAGAGCTTGATACCTTTTTTTTTAAAAAAAACGCATA